AAAAAAAAAAAAAAAAAAAAAAAAAAAAAAAAAAAAAAATGATTCAACCATATAATTTTTTAAGCATTAGAACATTTCTTTTGAATAATTGCAATTTTATTGTTTCAATTATAAATCGAATATTTTATAAAAATAAATTATAAACGAATATATTTTTATGTTAATAATGTCAGCTCATTAAATATATACAAAAAATATATAATTATCAAATTAATAATTATAGTATTATTCATAGTATTTACATAATGAAACAGAAAGTATAGTTGTTTTAGTATCGGTAACAGTAGTATATGGAATGTAAAAATTATTTTATTTCTTTGAAATGTATACATTAATCTAACATCGAAATTATTATTATTAAAAGGAGTAAATAAGAAACACAGTATTTTTTATGTACTCGGAGAGAGTAATTAATTACCATCTTAGATAAATTATAGAAAATTATTTCAACGATAATTACTGGGTTTAATATGCGTGATATACTAAACAAATAAATGAAATGTACGTATTGTTACGGTTAAAAATAAATTATATCAGTTAAGAATAAATAAATAAATAACATAAATCTGATTGTTAAGGAAATTTTCGAATTTCATAAGTTATTAACATTGTGTTTCACCTCTAATATTGCTTAATAATACATAGTTAAAATTTTTAACAATTTTATGTAACTGATATGCATTTAAAATTTCATAAAATTATAATGTCGAGTGTAAAATTTAAACAAAATGAGGTACAAACTGAAATAATTGTTTGGAAAACAATAATAGTCATAATTTTAAACTTGATATTTTATGTAAAGTATTTTTATTACTCAGTTATAAATATAAAAACGTAAAATTTAAGAGCGTAGTAAACGAGAAAGAAAAGTAGTCTCAATAAATGGATTAAAATGCAAAGTATAATAGAATCATTAACGCTAATGAAAATGTATTTTATATTTTTATGTTCCGAAGTAATGAAAGAATTAACTTTTCTTTAATAAAAAGTTAACGATAATCATAGGCAAGGGAGTCAATCATTTCATTTCAAATCATTTAACAGTACTCTCTCTTAAATAAATACCGTCAAACACCAATATATTATATTGGAGTAAATTATTTATAAAATGTTTACATACATTTCATTAAAATTAATAACAAATTTTACAAATAACCGATACGATATTCTGGAATATCATTTTGATTCCTAGTCCTGATTTTAATTTCTTAATAAAATAATATAAATTTTTAAAGTGAAATTGACAAAAAATATTAATTAACAGAAATTTGATCTTCTATAAAATATAAAGTTTTTATATTAAACCCCTTTAATTTAGTAAAAGTGAAATTTTTTAATTTGTAAATAAAAATAAAAAATAATAATAAATTAACCTCTTTTAAAAAGAAAATTTAGGTTATGTTGATTTATTTCATAGCTGTAACATAAATGAATACAGTAAACAATACCCACAAAAAAACTAAGTATCTAGGCATAATTTTGGACAGACGATTGACTAGAAGATTTCAACTAAAATAAAAATAAAAGGAACAACGTCAACAGTAGACTTAATTTCATCATACAACACTCAAATTTAATTTTCTTAGAATAATTATTTAATTATTATTTACTAATTAATTTAGCCATTAAAGATTCTACCAATACAAGCTTTCCAAAATATAACATTATATATGATAACTGGGGCGTTTTAGTATGTAACAAACAATAACCTACACAACAAAGATTCAAACTCAATACTGCCAGAAAACTTGCTATCTTACACTATACTAGATTTTACTCAACACTCATTATAAGCACAAATCCTTTAATGAAAAGAATGTACGCAGCGTTAATACCTGACATTTTTTAAATCGCTATCCACCCCTCAAGAAGTGTACGACTTTATTGTTTTACATTTCTAATAATTATGTTTTAATAATGTGAAAAAATTGAAACGGATAAAAATTCCTCATAAAACTAGGTTATATATTGTTTGATGTCATTTTTTTGGTAAATAAAGAAACATTTTTCTGTATATTTTACCTCACAAATTTTTGATAACTATTATGAAAATTTGAAATATATTTTAACTGTGATTGTTTTTATATAATAAGTTTTTTTCAAAATATGATAAAGAATATTTACAGAGTAATACCACTAAACGTAACTGGAACCGAGACGTTTTGACATGACAAAATAATGACAACAAAATCATAACTTAAATATAAATACAATTATGACTAATTCAGCTAGTTGACTTCCTTTAAAGCTATTTAATAAAATGTTAAAAAAAAAAAAATTATTGTAAATTAATTTTGCACAAATTGTTTTTTTTTTAAAACGTTAAAATTTTTGGTTAAAGTTATTTTTAGATAGATAATAAGAAATCTTATTAAACTATATTATAAAATTAAGTTGTTTTTGTCGGTCTCGCCAGTTAGTAATAAAATTTTAAATTAATCATTTTAACTATTTATAAGAGTTACGTAGAATTCATATAAGAGAAATTATTAAATTATTTTTAATGTAATGAATATTTAATATTACTAGACATTTGACGAAATTAAATAAAAATATTTACTTTTTCAAGTGGCTCTAGTTTTAATTTTATATCTTCTAATTTTGAAAGTAGTTCTCTTTCTTTTTTGATCTGATGCTCTTCAACATTTAGAGATTCGTACAACTGACTGACTAATGTTCTTACTCCCGACAAGCGTTCCATATCTTCCTAAAATTTGATAATATCAAAATAATTAATAGGAAACATGTTTAAACAGTTTAACAAACGTATAATACTGGTAGATAAGCTATTAATTAGTGAAATAACAATTTACAATTTTATTAACATAGATGAATATCTAAGAACTTTCTAAGAGTTTGTTAAAAGTAGCGAAGCGTTCGTCGTTATGCTGACTAACCCAACCCTTATAGAAAAATATTAAAAATTACCTGTGTAAGTTTCTTGTGAGGTGGTACTTTAACAATGAAATCACGATCGTTAACGGCTAATCGGAAGTCACCTTCCATTAATGATTCGATGGTATTGGAAGACGCGATTCGCACACCTTGAAGATTAGAAACGACGACATGGTCAACACCTTTATCTTCAGTCTTTAACATGTTCGTAAAGTCGCCAACAGAATTTGATACCGGTCTTAATGTAAACTGACAGAGTTCACGCCGAGACGGAAGAGGAATAGTGACGGTTGGCAGTCCTCGTCTGAGCTCCACGTGTAATTCTAAAACAAAATAAATTCCAATTAATCAACACAAATTATACAAAAAAAAAAATAAGTCTTTAATTAAAAAAAAACTATTGACCTGTCAACATTTTATTTACACCAATTTCCATTTAATAATAATAATAGGTTTCATTTAACTTTCAAAAATACCACTAATCTACTTTTAGGAATAATTTTTTCGTACAATAAACTTTACATTTAAAATGGTTTATAAAAATAAATTCAATTTTAACTAATATACATACATTATTATAAAAAAAAAAATCATTATTTAATAAAAAATTGGGGTAGCTCAATTCGCCCATGTATAATTATAAACGAAATTCAATTTTATTCATTTTGAAATAAAATAAAAATAGACTTTGGGTCAATGACCGTTATTTTTTTCCGTTATAAATTAAAAGAGAAAAATAAAGATAACAAAAGTTTAGTAACCTCGGCGATTTAAAAAGCGCTATACTCTATTCATTACAAAATTTGAATTCTGAAGTTTTTTCTTTTTAACTTGACGGTTATTTGATCTGTCAAGGGTATTCAGTGGAAATCAACATTATCGTTTAATCGGCAATCATTTATGTGTAAGTTTATGTATATTTTATTACGGAACAGTAACTATATTTTCACTTCCTAGCCAAATTTCATTATCATTTCAACATCAATTGCACTTATACTTTACAGCTAGCCATCATTAATTGATGCAGAATACTGTAACACGCGGTTTAAACTGCATTAGTAATGAAAAGAAAGTAATGTCCATAAAGCTTCAACCATGCCGTTCCAGTAGGTCTCCTAAGTGGGCAAGCAAAAAAATAATTTACACGCTATACATTAGTTTTTCTTAATTAAGTTGAAGAATAGCAAACACTCGAATAAGTATGTGTACATGAGGATTCATTCGTTGTTCTGAAACACAGTGCTTCAGTTGTTTTTGGATAATACACTTTTCAAGGTAAGCTTGATGTATAACGCTATTTTTATTACAAAAGTTTTTAACGTTAACTCCCATGAGCATTTTCGACGTCTATCCGCATGTATTGTTTATAAAATATTTACTGCTATCTAATAGCAACTCCCAGGGATGACATGTATTTTACATGTAATAAGATCTCTTAAAATTTGTTTTCAATAAATACAAACAACTGCGACGACCGTAGTAGGAGCGAAGGCGTTGAAACAATTGTTCAAATAAAAATAATAAAATAACTCAACGAGAGTCTTATTCACCGTCTGTACAACCTTTTCAAAATTATGGTCACGTAAACAGCTTTTTTCTAATAGGGGAGGTATTAATCATTATGCAGAGTGCGATTACGAGCGGTACTTCCTGTATAAAAGCTATGATTACATCAGGAGGAGTTATAGTCGAGTGCGCGACAAATACTGTGCATTAACATTATTGGCCTAGGGAATAAGTTATAAACAAAAAATGAAAAAATGGACAAACATTTTTTGGCGGCAATTAGTGTACCGGACGAACCGTGCAAGGCCTCAACCGACTTATCGATTGTCCCAAACTGCACTAAAGAATGAGCCTATCGTATTCATCCGTCGGGATTCGAAACTTTAGACGACGGTATCGTGACCTGAGTGTAAAATGCTGGCATTTATTATGAAAAAAAAAGCACTTTAAAAACCGACGCGTTACAACCACGCACCAGCTGCGTATAAAACAAATATTGTAAACTATAATAACGCCAATTCGAGCAAGAACATTATTACCGGGAAAAACGGTCGTAGTATGAAAGTAGAGTAGTGCACATTCGTTTTATAATGGTTACTTGTAATAAATTCCATCAAGAAAATCGTTGGAAAAATTAGTGACACACTAGAGAATACACCGTGTAAAAAATATGGCCGTTGATAATAATTGTTACCGCGAGTTCATTAAATCGCACCAAAATGGAATAATAATTTCCAAATAAACAAAACCTCTTGCACATGTAGTAAAGTGTATTTTTTTTTGGTTAGGGTTTTCTTGACCAACGAGACTAGTAAAGAAATTATTATGTCATAATAAACGTATTATAAAGAGAAAAAATTGTATTTCACGAAGTGTGGAAACTTTTTACTTATATCATTATAAATTTAAACGAAATACCGTTAAATAAATATTTATAACATAAAGTTTTCACACTTTATATTCGGTTGTATCTGCTAAAACACTTCAAGGGTCACGCTACAAAATAATTACAAGACAGATGATAAGAAAAAGTTTAAATAGACCTTTTGAAATAGTATAAACTTTACAGACAGTAAAAACAGACAACAATCGAATCGCTGGAATACAATTAAAGCTGTCCTCTTCTAATTGTGTGTTCAGATAATTGAAAACGAAAACTTATTTTCATCTTGAAATTTTCAAAAAGCCAAATATATGTTTACTTTTTTTCAAAAGACCAAAAAAACTTTTTATAATAATTTCAGATAAAAATTTAGAGGCATTTTTGTTTTCTTTTAATTCAAATATTTGCAATTCTATTTGACTAGAATAATCCAGTAACATCTTCTGAATAAAACAAATATTTCTATGTTAATAGGAGTGTTATAATTGACACGGTATATTTGACTAACACGCGAGTGTTAATGACGAGCATTTATCCAGTTCATTATATAATTTTCATAGTCTTTAAAATTGAACAAATTTTGTATTATTTCTGTATTGATCTGAATATTAATAGATGGCCGTTGGACAGGTAAAATAAAATCAATTCGGAATAAATACTATTAAAAACAACATGTCTCATGGTGTCCCCAAAAAAAAATAACTTGCCCCTTCATGAATTAAACTGCGAGTTTATTGCTCGAATTTTACTATAAAAAATCGATTTAACACAACAAAAGCTCGAGGTCTGAATAATTAAAATTTATACTCTACTCTTAAAAAGAAATGGTTTATTTCTTCTTTGCTTATAGTTATCAAACTTATACATTTAACTATAACATAAAAGGCATGTCGCAGACAAACTTCATTTTATAAGTCATGATGGACTGTTCTTAAGTAAAATATTACTATTTTTATTAGTATTGTTTTTGTTTCAATTGTTTGTCTTACGCCTTTACCCTGAAGACAAACGATAAAACAATTACGTTAGTTAGATTCGACTTATATATTTTGCTACGAGTCTGTATTTTTATTGCAGAAAATAAAAGAAAATATAACTTTCCGAGATCTAATAACTAAGTAGTAACATTTTAATAAATCTCACTTTTACTACAGTTAAGATAAATTTGGGATGATAAAGTAAAATTAAAACGATTAAGAACTGTAAGTAAATTTTACTGATACATTTGTATTTTAATTTAGAATCAAATTAAAATGATGGAATCATCATATATATACTATATTATATATATTTTAATACTTTAAAATATTTCATAATATCAGCGCCACTATCGACACTCTTTAAATAATATGATTCAAACTGATTTCCAGCCAAAAAATTATGAATTTTTAGTAACCTAACAAAATAAATTGAAAGTTAAATTAAAAAGTTTTAGAGTGAATTTTTAACCAAATGAAATAAATGTACAATACAGACAACCTGCGGGAATTATTAAATAAAAACGTAACAATGTCATATTTTTCTTTAAGACATGGGTGGTGCATATTCTGCTGGAGGAGTTTTCGTAGTTAAAGAAAAGGAAAAAGGATCGAGCAAACGGTATTACGTTGGAGGAAAGGATACAAAAAAAAGAGACCATGCGAGATTCGAGTAAGTAAAATTTATGGTTTTTAATTCTTTAATTTAACGCTTATTTCAACGTCGATGTCATTAAAAAATGATACGTGTTCTCTTATATTTTAAACTTTGCGAATATATGACGCGTGTAAAATGCTTTAAGACCGCACCCATACTATTTCATTAAAAATTAATATAATACAAAAATAAACGCATTCTGATAAAACGAAAAAAAATTGACGAGAAAATAATTACCTTGTCTAATCTAACAAAGAGAAATTAAAATGTTTTAATTGAGTAAAAATATGAAGTAATTCCAAGGAGTAAACCGAAATTCTTTATAGTTAAACTAACATAACATAATACGATATACAAAATCAATAATAGTGTTACTCAAATTCAAGTTTTTATTAATATAATTTATTGATTTTTATAAATAGAAAAAATTTTCTCTATCTAATTCGATAAAACTATTTTTTCAACTATAATTTGTAATCACTATTTTGTAATACTGCAAACAACAATTTATGACAACCTATCGTAAGTTATTTTTTTATTATGTTATGTGTTTTTTCGTGTTTGTGTTGAAAAATTATACTAAAAATAATCTTCACTTAATTCTTTTAAGAAATTAAAAGCTTTTAACGCTAATGAAAAATATAAAATATAATTTTTGACAAAAATAAGATAAGACTAAAGGTACGAGTATTGAGCAAAAATGAAATATTAAACGTCTAAGTCATAAGTTGTTAAAATTATAAATGAATAACAGTTTAATTATATCAATGCAAAATTAAAATATGATTTTAACTACACAAAAGAGCTAATAAAATATTAAGTAATTAGTTAGCGTGCATTAGGAACTAAGTATACAAATATGTCAAAAACAGTGGCGTAAATGAATATAGATTTTGTACATCTTTTATATTGTACTTTAGTATTGAAAAAACAGTAATATAGAAATATTGATTTCTTCATTTTGTCAATACCCATTTTAATGGTTCAAAAGTACAATGCAAATTATTCGACATGTAATTGTGATGAATAAATTATAAAAGAAACTTACTATTTATTATTCATATTCGGACTTGTCATTTTTATGGGTATAAATAATAATTAAATTTTTTCAGAAGTTGTAATTGTGTAGTAAGTTAACAATATATTACTCTTCTAAAGGTGGGTTAATATAAATAAACTTCAAAAAATAAAGGGGCTGTTATTTTAAGATACGCTGTTTAATTACATCATTATTTTTACCACCCACGTTTTCACATGGACCAAACTAACTCACGTATAATTATCTCAGTTGACACTTAAAGCGAACAATAGTACGATAATTATATTTTTAATTTAATTACTTGATTTACTGGCAAAAACGCTTTTGGGACAACTATATTCGTCACACGTCTTTGGCGTTGTTCACAAAAAAATGTTTAAATGTACTGAAAAAAAAATGCAATACATTTTTTTACTCTGAATTTCAGTAAAAACACCAAATTAACAATGTCTATAAAGAAACTTGTCAAATAAATACATTTTTTTTTTATATAATGGTTTTAGAAAAAGAATTTATGAACAAAATTCATAACAGTAAAATATTGTTTATTGAACCAGCAAGAACTTATGTGGGTGAATTAGGATTTTACGTTCACATGAACAATATTATAACATAAAAAAAAATATCCGGATAAAGAAAATTGGGTTTTATATTGTGACCATCAACGCATTGCGCCGGTCGATAAAATCTTCGCACTTGTAAGCCTCCACTGGCTTACGGTGGTTAAAAAAACTGCGCGTCAACCTACAAAGATTTGGAGACATACAAAGTAGCTATTAAAGATATATTTATAAATGTAATGAAACGGTATCTTTTGAATGAAAGTAAATTAAATTTGAGATAAAGTGGTAGCCAAGATATATTTGGAAATAATTAGAATATAAATGTAAACTAGGAAAATTTTTAGCGAAGAGATTTACACGATCAATCATACATATATTTTAATCAGAATTCTGCGACAGACAAAGCACATATTTAATCGGAAACAGGAGCCTCACAATGATTGCCATCTACGTGGAATATTAATTTATCCTATTACCTATTCTAATTATTATTGTTAGCACAACTTTAAAGATAATATTTGTCACACAGAAATCATATTATGTATAATTTTATAAACCGGAAATGCACAGCTAATCATCCATCTAATATTATGAATTCGGATATAATTTGAAAAAAAAACTAAATAGGAAGTAGTTTTTACTTTTTTGGCAACGGCGCCAAAGAAAAAATATATTTTATTCGCATTAATCATAAAATAGCATGCGCCAAGTCAATATCTTTCCCTGGCCTGAGAGTTTTATACTACTCACTTACAATGTAAGAGGTATCCACGTAATTGCCATTGATTTTCTGTATACAACATAAGCAATACGTCTTCAGAATTGAAAGGCAAAATAATGACGTGTTTTAAAAGGTTTTCCGCCGTATTTTAAATGTGTGATAAATCATATGGTTTAAACACAATTAAATTTCACAAATGTTATTTTTAAAAACATTAAATGATTACAAAAGGCCTTTTTATGCTGCATTTTGAGAGGGAAACCTTCTGTTTTTATTAATAATAAAAATTACATGTAATTTACAAATTTGAAAATGGTATGAAAGAATAATTTTTCACAATGACACTCATAAATAAGCCATAGAGTTTAACTATTCTTACTAACATTAGTACTTCAAAATATCATAACAGCTCTAATTTTCCTATTTTACACTTGTATAAATTAATTGCAAACATACACGATACCTAATATACAGAGAACGCAAAAAAAAAAAAACAGTTATAATTAAACATAAAATATTAGTAACAAAAATCTAACATCAAGAGTAGTATCTAACAAAAATCAATATATTAATACTATAATACTTCAAGCTGTATTATTGTTCTTATAGTTGAATAATTAAATTTTTTTTACAAATTAGATAATTTATATAGTAATGTCATTTAAAATATTTTCTCAGAATGATAATAATTATTAAAAGAATTATCCTTATTAAAATTTTTTTTGTTGTGTATAATTTTTCTAGAATAAATTGTAATTTATTATTAAATTGCTGGAATGAGAGCTTAGTTTAATAAAATATGTTTATTAGTAACCAAATTTTAAATATTTTAAGTTGAAAAAATTTAAAGAGAATAAATTGTAATAGTAAAAAAAGTATATAAAAATATTATAATTAAATTTACAATTTTTTTTTGTTATACAAACACCAAATTATTTTTGATATGTTAAGGTCAAAATAAATTTTTTATTGTTGGTGTAATTCGAATAGCTAATTATACACTTGGGTTAAGATTAACACTAAAAGAGTATTTAGTTTTCAACATAAAAAAATTGTTGACAAAAAACTGCTCAGGCAACAATTCTGAATGTAACTAAAAGTTTCTAACCGTAAATTAAACGATGGGGCGGTCGGTGTGCACAGCTGGTACCCGCGTGCACTCTTCCGGAACTGGAGACTGAATAGGTGCGGGAAAAAGGGCAAAGGGTGTCCCAAACAGTATGGCCACTACGTTGTTGAGACACGAGCAAAATCAACAGATAGACCAGAATACTCTGTATAAAATAATTATGTAACATGAACAAAAAGTTGAGAGGAGAGATCTTTGAAAAAATTCTGGGGTGCAAACGTGAAGCACTGCTTCTTCTATGGCTCTTGAAATGTTACGGTACGACAGGACGACACGCGTTCCGGTGGGCAACACATGCGGGCGTACAGTTCACCATACAAATCACCTGGCGCTTTGTAGGTCTGTAAACACTAGTGCAGCGAACACGTTCCCGGCGATATTTCACTATTGTTGTGAACACTATTAATGTTATTGTGGTCCTCGACTGAGGTAGTGCAGCGCAGTAGTGTTGAAGTGCCGAGTGTCGCGAGTGTTAACGTTGCGTCGGTGACAACTTGATTTGATAAACTTTGGTGAGTACTACTTAACGTAAAAATGCTTGTCAAATAGATGTATAAATTTCAATGTATCGAAAAATCCAAATAGTTCAATGTTTACCAAAGAGCGCCAAAAAGTAATCATTTTTCTTTAAAATTGTTTCACATGTTATTTTGATAATTGTCCAAATAGAAAATTTGTTCGACTAAACGAGCTTTTCTTAAATTGTAAAACACGATTGAGTTAAATAGGTTCTTCCGGTATTCGCTGTCATGTTAAATTTCTTATTTATTCATGGAAACTTTTAGTAAAAAATAATCAAAAATAGTTTCAACTAAAAATTAAACAAGCACAACCATTAATGAAAATAAAACAACTGTAATATTATTATTGACACGCTGATTTACTGATGTAAATCAGTAAATAACTCTTAGTCTACGCTGCATCAACTATTATTTATGTAATATAATTTTATTATTGTTCTTATTTCTGGGAAATTTTTTATCGAAATATGTGAATAATGTAATTGATGCATTACACACGCAGAAAGTTGAATTCATCAGATACAAATAGTATCTAATTTCGTAAAAATATACTATTGCAAAATGAATCTCAATGTTAATTTAAATTCAAGATAAAAATGTTTCTTTTTAAACAAAGTCTTCAAACATAAAATTCAGTCATCTATATCATTGCACAACATCCCGTTTCAATTTATAATACAATTCTAACAATTATTCTGATATTGTTATATTTTACTCAAATTAAATGGGTATTTCTAGATGGTTTTTTATAAAACAATAATATTTGTCTTAAGTCATTCATTTTGATTGTTGAGTTCCTTCGTGTACGTCAAAATATTTATTAATTATTTATCAGACTTTGATTAAATCTCTCTAGAATATTTACGAAATGTAAAACAAATAGAAAATAATTATTATCTAAGTATGCGCTTGACTCTTTCACGTAACTTACAAACTAAAGGTAGTAAGCAGAATTTCAGTTAAAATTCGGTAGCTAATATTGTAACTATGTTATCTGCATCAAATTTCAATTAATAAATAATCGTGAACGAACATGTCTAATCAACAAGCTGTAGTATAATACTCGAAATGATAAAATGTTCGGATACCTGTATTCTATGCAATAACGCATTTATGTTAATTTGTTCACAAAGCGTATTGTACTCATATATATGGGTCTCTGAACTCTCGGATTAAACAATGAACCGATGTGGTTTACCGTATTTAAATAAAACCCTAAACTATTTAAAACAATTAATTCGCGAATATCCGGGGACCTAAGTTTTTATCGGAAGTGACGTAGCTACAATGGACCAAGGAAAACCTCCAATACACACATGTAATATGCGGCGCAGAGGACTTGTCTGTCAGACCGTAACATCCACCTGCAGAATAGACCACTGGTATACTACAAATGTGTACTTCCAAACACCTCATTGCGTGTATATAATATGTAATCAATGTTTTTATTGTGATATGGCCTCCTCGCAGAGTACACATATAGGAAATTGGATATCCAACTGTGAACTCGAGCGACCGGATCTGAGTGTAGGATGGTGCGAAATGGGCAGAAAGCATGGAGAGTGAAATCAGCATCACGCATCGTTTTCATCTTCGCGTCAATCGCATACGATGATATTTTCCGTGACGGCCGATAATTAACAGCGATTGTTTGCATTCAGCATTATATGTACATTTTTTTTTGACACTCGACCACAAGTTTTGTTTTGAAATATTTTAGTGCATCTAATTATAATTGGATATATTGATAATTATCAATCGTGGCTATTCATTAGTATTATGGATGCTATATGACTTGTGAATGACTTCGAAGTTATCAAACTTTGTTCCATAAAAGTTCCAATTTATATGCAACAAGTAATCAACTATACATTCATGACGAAATTTTAATTGCTAATGTCTTACTTAATTTGGACTAAATAAAAATAAGAGTTTTAAAATTATGTTATTAAAACTGCTAAGAATTTATCAATTTAACAAGTATTTAAACTAAAAAGAGTTTTATTAATTTCAATGAAGTAAAATAGCATGAGGTAACTTCACTGAAGATGGTGATTCAAAAAAACATAATACAAAAATTACGTTTTTTTTTTATAGAAAAATTATCGCAGTGATCACAAGAGTCTTGACGAGATAAAAAATTATGATTAATTAATAAAATAACGAAAGTCTATTGGATAGCAGATAACTTTTATTAACTAAAATTAGTCAAATAGAATAAAAATACATAAAATTCATAATTCACATAATATAAGAGGCGAGTGTATCAATATGAATCATTGTAACAGCTAATTAAATAAGAATCTAAAAGATTCATAGATTTTTGAAATGGAAGAGTCACAATACAAGTGAAAGTACGTCAAAATGTTCAAGATGTCACTACGAAATTTCATAAAAAAAAATAACAATTCATTGAAGATATTATCAATAAATGTTGCGTGCCAGGTTTAAGTATAAAACTCATTATTAACATACTTAAAAAATCTATTATTGTTTATGTAAGGAGATAAACGAAATAATAACGAGTAATTAATTGTATTGTACTTAGTCAAGGCAAAATGAACACGATATAATTGACTAACTCCTCAATTTTCATAGACAAAAAATAGTTATTACAATACACTCTTAATTTAAAGCAAATTATGCTTCTCATAACGATCATACCAATTATGTATAATCATTGGCTAATTTTGCTGGGACTTTGAGCAGTCAAGGTCTTGACCTAGGCAAAGAAAGATTATTTACAGCCAACCACGGTACACTTCAACTAAATAAATATTTTTTTTAGTACCCTTCTATGTTACCACGTTCGAGGTTAAACATATTTATAGGTGACAGTCTGTTTGGCCGTTATGTGCTATTACCTGTCTTTTACTGCATATAGATTATAATTAAAACCATATGATACAAACTCAAAGAACAGCACATAACTTGACATCAAATAAAAGTGCTAATTCGGTTACGTTTATCTATGTAATGTATATATAGATAATGTGCAATATCTATGAACAAATGGCAGATTCAATATCACAATATTCGGTGAACTTTACAAAGACCTCACGCGTAGTTACGAACATTTCCCGCTGAGCTTATAACGGAAAATCGAATATAGACTAAATTTATGGACCATTCATGTTTTCAATTCTAATAAAGTGTTATTGAAATAGTTAGCAATATAGAAACAGAGCACCGGCGAGAAAGACATAATTCGATTAATGACCCGAAAAATCTGATATCTCAAAGTTAAAAACCAATATCAACAAATGGCTATGTGAAATTTACATCAATATATACTCGTTCAAAACATTTTTTTTTTAACTGCCAATTATATTTAACACTCAAAATATTAAGAAATATATATGAAAGTAAAAAGTTGGTTTCCATGTTAATTGGAATTAAAATTTCAAGTGAATATTCGATTATTTAATTTTCGAAATGATAAAAGTATCAAATAATAATCAAACTAAGTTTAATATAATATTGATTTTCCATTAATTATTGGATTGATTCAACTAATACTGTGAAAATAGCATAGCACACTAGTGCCATACATAATCACGTATCTTACACTTTCACCGTCGGAAAATCCGATCAAGGTCGAAAAGAATTGAGATGAGTTCAGAAAAAATTTTAGTCAAGGTAATTTTTGATTGAGTTTATGTAACGTTTGACATGCGACATACCGTGATCTAGTGCCTATATTTACCACCACTTTAGGTTATTTTCATTATTGTAGTAATAAAAATACTACAATCTATAAAAAAAGTTTGACACGAACGGAAACTAGCCGCTAAAAACAACATTTGCTCATGAATAATAATAACGCTAAAATACAATCATTTGACCACCAAATCACTCTTAAATATGGCTCATTCTGATAATTGCATTTCTGCTTTAGATTTTTTTACATGTAACAGATTGTCAAGGAGTTCCGTACATATTATTAAACTCGTATGGACATAACGTTACCGCGTCAAATAATTATTATTTAGGTCAATATCGATTGGAGATTTTTCTCTATATCAATGATTAATCATTTCTAATAATTAAGTGACATAACATAAGATGAACTCTAAAAATAATGACTGTTCTGTATAAATCGCTGACATAAAGATTACTTGAAACGATATTATTTAAATTGCTGATGCGATTTCATAGTACTTAATATTTTACTGAAAACCATCAAAATTTAATAAATATAAAAAGAAAATGAAAAAATATTTTAATACTAGTATTGGTTATTTAAAAACAAGATATTATATTATTCATATACAGTGTATACACACAATATGTATCACAATATCAAGATAATACTGCATACAACTTTTTATTTTAATATTCAATGTAAAACTAGCAGTATTTTTAATATATCCCATGATTATTCGTAATGAAACAAAAAAAGTGAAAATTTTAAAGGAGCAAAATTTATTTTCACTAGAAATATTTTATTTCATTTTTTAATAAATTTTCTCAAAAATAAATCTGTTAGGGCAAGCTAAGTATTTAGTTGAAAGAGTTAAGACTTTCTGTTTGCGACAGTAATGCACTTTCTTAAAGAAAAATAATGGAAAATTAATTTATGATAGTGTGTGAATCACATAACTATTTAAATGTCAAAATGAACAAATAAAAATTTTATCGCAGTCGGTAGGATTCGAACCTACGCTCCCAGAGGGAATCTGATTTCTAGTCAGACGCCTTAACCGCTCGGCCACGACTGCACGATACTCTGGTTGGGAAATTAGGCGGTTTTAAGAAGAATGACAAAATTTTTATATTTTTATAAGACTTCATAAGAAAATTAATAAATATTTCTAAAATTTTTAAAATAACAATTACCATTTCTTCAATTAAAATGTCAACACAATTTCACTTATATTACACTAATAACATAATATACTATTTTATAACTCTGGTCACTAATCCGAACGTTTTTTTTCTCGGAAAACAAATACATTTTTAACACTATCATATAATTAGAATTTGTTTTATTGAACATATATTTTTTGTCGCAATAGTTTTAAAGTAATTTTGGAGTATTTCCAGAAGAACGAGGAATATTGTTGTATAATCCCGATGAGAAAACTCAAAATAGCATCGCTCTTGGGTTCTTATAGTATAATCTAGTTGATAACTACGTTTAAATGGCTAAAATAAAGATTGTGTTAAAAAATAATACTTTAAAACTATAATTTCACGTATAAAAAAATATAATACTTAAGCTTCATTAGTTATCTAGAACAACAACGATTTTAAATAATAATCATTTATTTTAAATAAGCATTATTTTATTTAAATTTGTCATACTGTTTTGTTTTTAGAATAGTATTCAATGAAAATTATATATATGTTGATAATAACTTAATGCACTTTAAGAAATTTTTTTTGAAAAAAAAAAAACTTTCTATGAAAACTATTGACAAGAATTTTGTTGTTACAACATTATGAATAGCTCATACATTTTCAAATAAAACTTGTCAATGCTAAACAATTTGAATGAAATATAACTTTTCATAAAAATGTTACGATTCTTTAAATTTTTTAAAACCAATTAAAATGCAAAATACAAACTGTATGGATTTGTTAAATACATGAAAGAGCTAAAACAAAATTAAATAAACGTTTACTTTGATCGCAGGTATCAAAAATTTGAATAGAATTTTTTGATTATTTATTTATTCATTATTTAATCACGCTCAACGTACTGTCTAAGAACGTTAAAAAGCTTTTGACACAGCTATTGTTTGTACCAGAGAGGACGGGAAAACCTACATAGACCAGCAGCGCAACGGTTCAACGAAGGCGCGACGCGTTACCGACTGAGTAAAATAGACCGTTTAAATAGATAATATATATAATTAATGAAACGTTTGAAAAATAAAAGCTCAGCTAGGTATACGGGACCTTATTACTCTTACTTTGTTGTGTTGTAGTCTCTGTGTAACAAATAAACATTAAAAGTGAACCTTAATAGCAGGCATGTGTAATATGTTGCCTGTCAGCAAGGCGTTTTAGATATATTTACTTGCATGTATTAAACAAACAGGGCTTATAAGTCATATTTGGTTGATTTATAACATCATATGAAATACAAAAATTCTTAAAAATTCTAGAATCTGTCATTATTATCATAAAATTATAACAAAAAATCTTAGAACTAAGTATTGACGTATTAGATAGCTTTAATTTTTAATGAATTCTAAAAATAACACATTGATCGTATACATTTTGCCAAGTTATCTTTTCAGCCGTTTAATTTAATTTAATTTAAATACAATGATTAAACTATTATGATAAAATTATGAAAAAATATTTATTAAATTTAATCTTTCAGACGAATACCCAGTGATCCGGGAGGTTTAGCAATTAAAACAGACGATGAAGACGACCAATTTTTTCATAGATTTTGTTGGGATCAACTGAGAAAACATGACCAAGAATTAATTCCTAGGGTTAGACTTAAGACTCCCTACAGGACACCACCACTTTTAACAATAAGGTAAGAGAAATTTAGCAAAATACAGTACAAAGTAAATGAATATAATACACAAGAAAATACTAACGTCTCAGAGGTAAAAAATTATAAATGAAACATTTGTGAAAGACAAAAAAAGATGTGTCACATTGACAAATTAATAGTAAATCTTACTACAAATAATTTCTTCAGATCAAATAAACAAACGATGGCATACCAATATAGTTTTAATTAAAAATGTGTTCAATAACAAACGTGAATTAATTATACTTTTTTTCTGAAATTTTTAGTCGCATGTTAAAAGAGTTAGAAAACGAAAGCAAAAAGAAAAAAATGGATTCTCCTTCAAGGAATAGAGCTCGATCGACATCGGATTTAAAATCTCGACAATACATACCGAATGAGGTAAATACTATATAAATCAATTTAATGTAATGATAAAAAAGTATTTTGTAATTAAAGTACATCAAGCTTTCTAAAATAAATCAGTTGTATTTTCGATCCTACTATAATCGATTCCCTTATACCTACGTTTTAACATTTTATATAAAGTTTTAAAATTAAAATTTTAAGAATTTTACAAAATAAAAGGTCAAATTTTAATGTTTAATTTTCTACCGAGTATTAGATTCAAGATTTTTACTTAAAATAATTTAACTAGTAAAAATTATATAATACATTGATAGAAAGACACAGTTACTTTCACAATTTCTAACAGTTTTATATTATTCAGTAAATATTACATTATAATATTATAACCAATAATATATTATAAATGAATATATTATTAAATTTTACTACAAATATATTTGTATTGCAGAATGCGCCAACAGTAAAACGTTACAATCGAGTAAGCCAAGGAAATCGGAGTAGAAGCCGATACGAAATTTACAATTCTACAACAATGCCATTTGGTAAACGTTATAGAGAAATGGTTACTTCTAATATACACGATATTGAAGATAATAATGAAAGTAGTACTGACTCGAGTCAAAGTACATATGCGACATGTTGTTCAGAAGTAGAGACTTTGAAAATGTCTGGTTTTCATTGTATCGATGAAAACACTAAAAAACACGAAGTTACCTTGCAAGCCAGTACAGACGAAACAGTTACAGAAGCTCGAAATTATGACGTGAGCACAGAAGAAAAAAATAAATTAATAGAGAATGACGAATTGAAATCGACGGCAATGGTAAAAAGTATTAATGAGAGACGCCTAATGTACAATATGCCAAAATCGTCTAATTGGAATACGTATCAAGAAGAACAATTAACTTACGAACCAGAAGACCAACAAGTACATAAAGAAGTTGTTGTGAGATCTAGAAGTCTTTTTAGCTTATTAGAAGATCAGCCGGTAGAAAATTTAAACCAAAATAACACCCAAAAGTTGGTAAAAGCAACATCGGAAAATTATTTGTACAAGGAAGATAATCAGAAACCTAGAGTTGTTGATACAACACCTTCAAAGAGATATAATAGTACAATTAATTTGAAAATAAGTAATATTAAATCTAAGTCACAAGGTATAAAATATAAATCACAATCAGATTTGTGTCGGTCAGTAGAAGAATCTAAGAGATTAAATAGACCAAAATCGATGGATTACCTTACTCATAAAGAGAATAAATCGCACACGGAAACACTAAAGAAACATTTTTACTATCATCCTTTGAAACCCATAAAAAAACTTAATGATAATGAATTACCAGATCCAGATAAAGTTCAGAGTACTAGACAACTATTCCAAAAAGTTTTGAAAATACCACTTCCTCCAAGTTTAAATAATCAAAATCCAAAAATAGGACCAAGACCTACACAAGAAGTTCGAGTTGTGCCGGATTCTCATAAACCTAGTATTCAAAAATGCGTTTCAGTAGATATGGGAACAAACATTCATAACAAATGGACGGATAGTGGAAGTGTATCATCTGGTGTGGGTAGTGAAGCTAGCTTTGAAACAGAATCTTCTGAAAATAATGCAAGAGGTGATAAGTATAGTAGCGACGATGAAGAATATTTAGCCGATAAAACTACAATCGAGTTGGTAGGACGACCCGTGTCTGCCGAAATTCTTAATAAAATCAGAAAATTTGGAACCAGTGTCACTTACTATGGAGGTAAAGTTATATCGAGTAGTCGAGGAGAAGTGTGTAGTCCTATGACTATGACTATAATGGACGAAATTAGACATCAAAAAGAAGAAAATATCAAACTTCGTCTAGTAAAAAGTAACAGTTGTGGAAGTAGAATAGAATTAATGGAAGAAATTAAACACAGTGAAAAACAAGTTGAAGCAATCCGAGAGGAAGAAGAAGACGAAGATCTAAGAAGAGAAAAAAGCAATCAAGACATTTTGGACAATAGTTCATCTAAAAGTGTGTCTTCTGACGAATTATCGTGGAAAGCATTAATAGTCATTAGAAAGAAAATGAATAACGTACCAGTATTTGACATGGAATTTGAAGAATTTGAAGTACTCGATGATAATAACAAAAACAGAGACTAAAACCTTCATTTTAAAACGGCTTAGATACATAAACATTTACTCAACTCACCATAAAAATAAAATTATTTTATCGATTTAATTATAATTACTGTTGCCAATCTATGTTCTAAAATTAAAAGAAAAATATATTATTATGCATTGTTAGAATTAAATTGCTTTATTAAATTATTTAAAAAATTGTACTATGTCAATAGTGTATGTTTAAAACTACATAAGTGTATGTATTGTAAATCTTTTTTAAAATCGAAATAAAAAGTTATTTATACTATAGGAAGTAGTGCACTGCGCGATAATATATTACGACAAGAGCACTGCGGATACTTTACAATTGTTTCGTTAATATAAAACAATAAAGGAGATGAATATTTCCAGCTCATTTTTTAATGATTATTTCTTACTGTTATAACGTATACATACAATTGTGTTGTTTTATAAGAATTCAGGATTCCGTATGTATTTAAAGTTTTCGTTGATTTCTATGAGCTATAGACTAAAATAAAATTCTCCGAATTGAAATGAATTTACCTATTAATGTTAAGACAAAAATATCAAAGCATATTATTATGTTCATTTAATTATGTATTATCGTTGAAAATACAAAAAAAAACCTTAATAAATTATTCTAATAAATATCAAGAAGTTTGCGATGAAGATGTGATATTATTATGCCTAGAAATTAAAATTAAAGTAGTTATTTTAGGATTTATATATATATACGAGGTGGTTGATTAACTATGTCTTGATTAATATTTTTATAAGTGTAAAACATATAATAATTTTTTTTCTCAAAAGGTAATAAAAAGAATCAAACATAATTTTTTTTTAATAGAAAATATCATCGCTTATACAACGCAACAGTAGTATATCAAAATTTGACAAAAGGAGACTTGATCTAACATTTATACATTTAACATTAATTCATTTTGAAGAATCTTTCTATACATAAAGTAAAAAAATACCATTATTAAAAATAAAATATGTAAATTAGAAAAAAGTTGGATTGGATTTGATTTTAGCTTCGATGCGAAGCGGAGAAGGTATTAATTTTACTATGATGTGTTTATTTTTTATTTTTTTTTTATTTTATTTTTTTTTTTTTTTTGTGTCTGTCAATACTTTTTCTCAGCTCTCACTGGACCGATTTCTTTCAAAAATACGTCAAAAGATCACAAATCGTATCTAGTTGAAGACATTACCCTTAAAAATTGAAAAAAATTCCCTCGTTCCCCGCAAATGGGGGAAATATCCAAAAAAATTACAAATTTAAAAATCGACAAATTTTGTCATTTTTTTCACTTTTTTTTCTTAAAACTTCCATAACTTTTTCAAAAATCAACAAATCAACATAATTTTTTTTTAAACTAAAACCTTAGATATTTTCCTTTCATTTGATATAATTTTTTTGAAAATTTAACACTTAACCTGCTCATGGGGGGGGATTTAAAATTGCAACTTTTTTACAAAAACTAACTTTTTCAACTTAATTTTTGAAAATGTTCCGGAAATACTGCGTCCTTTAAACATATATCAAATTAAAGCTTATTTTATGTACTATAAAATGAAAAAAAAAAATTTGTCCCGACACTTTATCTTCTGCATGTAAACGGTTGCCGTAGTTAAAAAAACACTATTTTTGTGTTAAAATTTTCGATTTTCAATTTTTAATTTTCAACTTAAAAATGCTATAACTTTTCGAAAAATGCATGTATCAGCACAATTTTTTTTTTTCTAAATACATTATAAGTACATCTTCCATTTGACATACTTTTTATTAAAATTAGACAATTTCCCCTTATATAGGGGGGGTTCAAACTTTGAAACATTGTATAAAAAATAGAACTTTTTCAACTGAACTTTTGAAAATGTTCCGGAAATACTGCGTCCTTTAAACATATATCAAATTAAAGCTTTTTTTATGTACTATAAAATGAAAAAAAAAAATTTGTCCCGACACCTTATCTTCTATGTGCAAATGGCTGTCGAAATTATAAAAAAAATGTAATATTTGCGATAAAAATCACCTTTTATAACGATGTTTTTTGTACTTAAAACTGCCATAACTTTTTCAAATATTAACTAATCAAAATAATATTTCTTTATATTGAAACCTTAGGTAATTTTCTTTCATTTGATATCATTTTTTTTTGAAAATCTAACACTTATTCTGCTCAGGGGAGGGATTTAAAATTGCAACTTTTTTACAAAAACTAACTTTTTCAACTTAATTTTTGAAAATGTTCCGGAAATACTGCGTCCTTTAAACATATATCAAATTAAAGCTTATTTTATGTACTACTAAATGAAAAAAAAAAATTTGTCCCGACGACCTATCTTCTATGCGCAAAAGGCTACCGTATTTAAAAATATGCTATTTTTTATTAAAATTCTAGGTTTTGTATTTTATTTTATTTTAAAATATTTTATTAGGGGAATAAACTGACTTTCATGAATATTATATAATTTCATTGACATAGAATAAAGTTCATAAGACATATGATATTATACTTATTAACATTTTTTACTTTTTTAAAGTCGAAAAAGAAATTTTTAAATTTGAGTTAGCTTTAATAGCCAATTTTATCATGCAACAATAATCAACGAATAGTTGCCGAATGGGTAACACCTTGATCTTTAACGCCTAGGGTACAACGTTCAAATCCGTTCGTGGCTTCTAAAATCTTGCATTTTTTTTTTTGAGTTAGAATAGAATTTTCAAATCATTTGATATTTATCTCATTTAGATTCAATAATTTCAATAAATATAAAGGATCTTATCACTATAGTCTCCCCTCGTGAGAAGAAATTGATATTCATGTTAATATTATTTTACTATGTGGTTCTTTTTCTGGCTACGATTTATTTTGCCAACCCTCANGGGTTCTTTTTGTGGCTACAATTTATTTTATCAACCCTCACTAGACCTACTTTTTTCAACGATACGTCAAATGATTCATTTAAGTTTATGATATTTAAGTTAATGATTAGTTTAAGTTATTACTCTTAAAAATCAAAAAAATATTCCTTATTCAAATAAAAAGTAGCTTAACTAGATTTGTCCATACAAACAATTAAAATCATTAATTTTTAATATTCTTAAATTATTTATTGTCGAATTAAATTTGATATGATAAAAGTATTCAACTACAAAAGTAAATAATTTTACTTTATAATTTATTAATTTTTTAACTCTATTTCTGTGTGCTACTACCAGTCTATAATATGCCAAATTTTTTAGTAATATGTTGCTATATAAATCATAAATTTAAAAAAAAAATGATTTTTAGTTTCACCTGAAGTTAACGATGGAGTTTTACAATTATAATTATATTTTTGATAATATGCTCAATTGAGTAAATCTTTTTAACTACTTTGGTTTGATTGGTTCATTTAATTAAAGTAAATTATTAAAATTAATTAAGTTCTGAATATTTCAATTGCAGAATTTTTTTAAACACCAAAAGTTATTAGGATATGATTACTATTCTTTCTATTTCAGTTATCTATTACGATAAAAATGTAAAAAAATCGAATTTTTCTGACAAATGTACTGTAATTAGTAATTATAAAATTTCCAGATTGCATATTAATCTTAAAAATTTCATTTTTTTCAATTTAATAATGTCAATTTCAAACTTGCAAGTTGAACTATAAGTTATGGTAACAAATTCATTTTTTAGCTTCGATGCGAAGCTGAGAAGGTATTTTTCATTAAAACTTTCACTTTAAAAGACAATAAAAAATAGGTTCAAAATGATTACCTTTAACATATTAAAAATCAAAATCAGTATTAATTTAATACAATTTTTTTTGTTCTTAATTATTTTTTTTTATATGTAAATACTTATTTTTTAATAATAAGTAATAATATTAAAACTTAGAAGTAATAGAAAAAGTTTAATTGCACATTTGAAAACATCACGAAAAGTTTATTTAGAAAAGTATATTTTTTTTCTGATGAAAGTTCCTTTTGTTTAGTGTATTTATTCATAAGTAACAAAATTTTTTTATTAAAAAGTATTGCATAAATTCCTTTAAATTTGTATACGCATTAAAAGTATATGAATATACAACTCCTTTTTATTTTTATAATATCTCCGTAAAAATTACAATATTATATTATTGAATACCACTTTCATACTCAATTTAATTACTGTAATTATTATGTATTCATATATTATAGTTATAAATCGGGGTAAAATTAAGGGAATAAGTGTTATTGTTGTTTTTGAAATAATCTACCAATTTAATTTTTTTCTATTTAATAATATTTATTTCAAACTTGCAAGTTGAGTTAAAAGTTATGGTAATAAATTCATTTTTTTTTTATTAAAACTTTCACTTTAAAGAACAAAAAGAAGTAGGTTCAAAATGATTACTTTTAACATATTAAAAATCAATAATAATTTGAAAATAATTAATTATAAAAATTATATAATATATAATTAAAATAATTACTAATCTGGATATAATTAAGGAAATAGGAGTTGATGTTGGGTTGGGTTGGTTACATTTTTAACTTTATAATGCTATAACTCATTGAAAAGTGTACGAATCAACACAATTTTTTTATGAGAAATAATTATTTTTTAATAATCCCTTTTTCATTCGACATACTTTATCTTAATCAGGATATTAATAAGGAACTAGCAGATTATGTAGCTTTTGGAATAATCCGCCAATTTTTTAAAATTAAACACTATCTAAAGATTTGCATCGAAGCGTTTTTTTTTTATAGTGATTTTAAGCACTGTCAGATATCATTATACTTGATCCATCTATACCACGTCACCACTATGCCGCGACCCCCCTGTACTGGGTTTTTTATTTTTAATGGCAATAATTTGTATTTATAAAAAAAATTATTAAATAAATTTGGATACTTAAAACATTTTTAAATAAAAATTTAATTTTAAAATTAGAAAAAAATGCTCATTGAATTGGCCAGTAAAAAAATTTACTCTTCTTATGTTAAAATAATTATTAAACTTATTATTTATATAAACGTAATTAATAATGAACGGAAATAAAACAGAATTAGTTACTGTTTTATGTAAAGTAATAAATAGTGTTTGAATAATTCCTTTTAAACGGAATTTATTCCGTTAATCATTCACCTGTTAAAATAAGAACTGTTTCCATATCCTCTCGTTCCTTTTTTTTTTTTAAATACATAGTCCAAATTAAATTTCTTTGAAAAAAGAACTTCCCTTTATTTATTTATTTATTTATATATTTATATATTTTTTGTTAAAAAAAATATTTAATTTTTTTAGTATCAATGCGAAGCTCAAGTTTTAATTTTACTACAATGTATTATTTATTAATTAATTAATTAATTTTTTTTTTGGTGTCAGTTATCATTTTTTTCAGTTCTCACCGAACCGATTTCTTTCGACGATATGTCTAAATATCACAAATTGTATGTAGTCGAAGACAATTTTTTTTTATAAATCTGACCCTTTTCCTGCCCACAGGGATGGATTCAGAATGACAACTTTTTCACAAAAAATTAACTTTCTCAACTTAACTTTTGAAAGTATTCGGGAAATATTTGATACTTTTATATATATATTAAATTAAAGCTAATATAATATACTTTATTATGGTGAAAAATTTCGAACTTTATTTTGTTTTCATGGTGAAAAAGGTTATCAAAGTTAATAAAAAAATAATATTTTATGTAAAAAAATTCTTTTTTATACTTTTAACTTTATAATGCTATAACTTTTTGAAAAATGTATGGATCAATACAATTTTTTATGATAAATACTATTTATATTCTTTTATTCAACACCATTTTTTTTTAAATTAAACACTATCTACAGATTTGCATTAAAAGGTTTTTTATGATAGTGATTTTTATTACTGTCAGATTAATCTATACTGGACCCAACTATGCCACGTCCTCGATGAGCTGAGTTTTTATACTTTATTTAATATATATTAAATAAATAATTATATATTTTATTTAAATGACTCTTATATGTTTTTTTAATTCAGTTATTATTAATAATCAGTTGTACTACCTTACAATATCTTCAGTAATAAAACTCATATATTACTTAAAAATGTATAATATTTTAGATCGTTTTACTCAGATAAGATTAAGTTCGTTATGTTTACAATTAACTAATATAAAAATATTTGTGACTCTTATCATAACAAAAAATAATTTAAAAATAATCAATTATTTTTGAAACAATACACTTTAAAATTTTGTCGATAAAATCATGTTATCGACAAAAATCGAATATCTTATTTTATTAATATGATTATCAATTCTTATAACATTTTTGTGTTTATTTATTCAGAACAAAAATTAAAATTACAAATTATGATTGTTTGGAATCAACAACAAAATATTCAATTAATTTAATACAAATTAATACAATCTACAAATATTAAATACATTTATTTTCATCATAAGATAAGTTTTATTGCCATATCTCCCAGTGAGAATACTCACATAGTACATATTTATTTTGTATATTAAAAATTCAGAGGAACGGCGTCGCTGACTAACCACCGAACCTGGAGTATACATGTTTAAGAAACTTCCTCATAGAAGAGACTGTAAAAACCTTTAATGGGTAATAAAAACAAAAAAAAATTAAAAATTAATAAATACCTGAGTCATTGTAGGTTGATTTAACTGGAGTTTGCTTATCGTGATCACATGACAAGGTGGACGATACAGTACTTGACCATCGTTTACAGTGATTTCGTCGAAATCTCTCCTTTATCTGAAAACAGTAAGCTCATAAGAAAATGTTTTTAATAATTTTTTAAAGGAATACAAAAATGTATAAATACAGATCAACTATGTATAAACATAGGGCTAAACAATTTATAATAATAATTTTATAATAGAAATCACAAATATTTCCTTCAGTTATAAATATTTTCTAAAAAACAGCTTACATTTTAAATTTTCTATATATTATAATATTTTCTTACATTATAACAAATTGTTATAATTTACGATGTCAAAATATTTCATGTTTACACAAATAACATGGAATTTGCAAAAAAAAACAACAAAATATTCATTTATATTTATCACAGTATATTTTCCAAAATTCAATGTCTCTCAAGTACTATTTGGCATTGGACCAAAAATTATATTGCTATAAAATAATGAGCAGAGAAAACATTTTATACAATGTTATTATTATATACACTATTATATAACAAATAATGTAGTTTGAAAAAATTCATAAATGAATATTGTATAAATAAAAACTCTACTAATAATCATAATAAGTTGATTTAATATATTTTAATTAATAATAAACGCTTAGTAATAAACACCAATAAATACAGGTTATTTATGTTATTAACAGCAAACCATGTTGTTTACTAAGTATAAATAATTTTAACAAGATACAAAAAAAAATGAAAGTATGTAAAAAGCATGTTGCTTTTTTACATAATCAAATATACATTGTTTAATGCAGAATAGATAAATACATGTGGTTTGTTTGTTTTTTTTATGAATTTTAAATATTAACTTGTTTATGATTAGTTAAGTGGGTCATTGGTGCTTAGGTATCAATAATCTGAATTGTTGGGGAATCTCTCAGTAGCGGGCCATGAGAGACTATGTGCGTCAGGATGTCATTTTATTATTTTTTTCTATAAGTGCGTAATAAAATACTCTGTAATAATTTACTGTTTTTTTTTTTAATGTATCTTTGTTTTTATATTTTGTCGTGCTATGGAGCATACGACATAAATTGGTTTTAAAAATCTTAATAATTATAAAATTTTACAATAATACGTAAAAAGCTATAATTAATCAAATATTTTGAAATGAAGTATATACAATAATGTTTCATCACATCATTAAATAAAAATATAAAATATATAAATATAAACATAGAAGAACTTTATCCATCTTCTTAGTTATGATGACCGAAACTTGAATTAGTTACTATTTTTGATTAAAGTAGACCTAATGTGTCGTATATAAAAACTTAAGAGAAATAACTAATTTAATTATGAATATTGATTCTTTGAATATTCTAAGTGATAATAAATCACAAAAAGTTCTACTACGGATTGTAATAAAAAACTCTTATGGACAATCAATTTATTTATTGTTTCTATATAATAATACGATATATACGCTTTGGTTTATGATATAGTCATGAAACTATTTGGAGTCGGACACATTTATCCTAAACTTCCACGATTTCCCATATCATCTATATACACATCAGTCGTCCACATAACGCATTTAATATATTTCTAAATGTTAATATAAATATATTTCTAGTAGTATCCTAATTTTTCATAAAATTATAAATGATTTTTTTTAGAAAAATGTATAGATTAAAATTTAATTAATTTTTATAAACCATTGTATATGTAAAGTTTATTGAAAAAAAATTATTCCTAAGGGTAGATTTCAGGTGTAAATTTCAAAAGTTTAATGAGAACCTATTATTTTTTTAATATTAGGTAGAAAATAACATAAATAAAATTTTGACTGATAGATAACCAGTTTTACAAATCGAAACTAGGTAACGCTGTGTACCGCTCAAAACACTACATCATTTTGGTATAATTGTTCCTAATCTCAATATAAAACTACTTAAAAGTTACAAGTTTGAACTTAAAAATGTTATAAACAAGATAGTACAATATAATTTTTATAGAAGATCGAAATATTGAAGTTTTTATTTCAAAGGATATTTTTTCGAGGTGCGTTTTCATAGTTCAATATATTTATTAACTCAATTTATACATAATATGTAAAAAAATCCACTCCAAATTTGAAATGTAACATTTATGGTTTAAACATTGATACATTTATTAAGTAACCTAAAACTTACAATTTATTATTGTTTAAAAGATAAACAGACCGTTAATTAAACTGTGATATTCATAAATTAATAAAATAAAATATATAAAAATAAGTTAATTTTGAGGCTAGTATTGTTTTGATGGTGATTAACCCCTGTAATTTTGTCGCATAGTAAATAGTTGCTCATTGACTATTAACCGTGTGTATTTACACACTTATGACTATGTAACAAAACCAACGCCCCACACACATGGTCTTAACATTGATCCGATTGTATTCGAATGCGGGTTTATAGCCATTCTCCTGCCCATTATCAGAGTGCGCGCCATTGGAGCTGCGTGTTTCGCATATCTTTGTCAAAAAAACTTATTTTTCAGGTTAAGAAAAATAGTACGATTAACATTTACACCTGTATAGATTTATTATAAAATACTCTTCAGAACCACTAAACAAAATTCGCGAGTTGGACAGTAAATCTTACATAAGAGTAGCGAGAGAAATAGAGACATCGCTTTAGTTAACAAGCATAGAGAGATTCTTGAAAAGTGTTTCAAATACAAAAAATGTTTCCTAATTATAAGTTATACAGTAGTTCTTATCTTTAGCAGTCCCAACAATCAGATGCTTTATACACATTAGTTCACCATTTTACCTTTAGTTAGCTATAGTAAATAACCTTATCAAACAATAACTTAGTGTCAATAATTTCATAAATTATAATGCTAAATAACAATCACGAGATAAAATATATGATATGATACAATAACATACATTTTTTTTACTATATCAAATAATAATTAAAAACAAAAAAACTTGGATAAGAAAACTCTTTTTAAAATAAATTTTTCCCCAGAAAATTAGCAGTAAAATCATGTTAATAGAAAAAAAGAAATCATAAAAATATTTAATTGAAGCTCTTAGAGATGTATCAATTGATGCTTCTCGAATCAGTTTTTCTATTATATGTATTACTTTATTACTTTTTTTTTGTGTATATACTTTGTTATAAATGTAGACAAATCCTTTGAAAAATAATTTAATAAGTGATTTTTTAATAGTCTTGTTTTTAAATTTTTTATTTTTAAATAAAATGAGGATCTAAATACTTAAATATTTTCTCTAAGTTAGGCAAATTTCATAAGTTACATAATTTAATCTGAAAGTAACTTCTATAAAACTAACAGACATAAGTACATTGAAAAAATTTAGTATTAGCTCTTCATAATGTGTAGTTATAAATGTACTCTTGCGCTTTTATGAATTTTATAAGTATGCATTATTAAAAAATGACAATATCTCTTTTATTTGCGCTTTAACAATAAAAAAATAAAAGAAAAACTAAAGATAACTTTGAATGATAAATAAATTAATGCAAGCCACTCAGTATTAGACAGATCATACACATAAAGATACACATCTATTGCTCATAGTGAGTTCAACTATATTGTTCGAAGGTCAACAACATAAACCACTTGGATTTGGACTTAGAGATTGTGAACAGATCGAGTATTTTTATGAAGTTCTTTCCGAAGTCAGTATTCTTTCTTTGGATTCTTATGTTTTACATATTAAAATTTTATTTATATCACTAATAGAAATAAAATAAAATGATAGTTATATCAAAACATTATGCAGATTTAACATAAATTATTCAACTATTGGATGGTTAATAATAAAAAAATTGTTAAAAGGTAAGACATAATAATTTCTTAACAAATATTTTTGAGGTTCTCAAATTTTCGATTGATAGTTTTCAATTGTGGTATTAATATTTAATAAATAAAATAAACTCAGATAAAATAGGATACTACGTAATTTTTCAAATTATCTTACTGAAAGCTATTTTTTTATTAAATAATATCAATCGCTCGTGATTTTTATTCGTATAAATGGTATAGTAAAATTATCCTTAGTTCACTTACTTCAAAAGTTCTACAGATTTTAGAAACTACAGGTTCCCGATATGCGACACCGAATATTGTGCGAGCACGAACTGCTAAATGTACTGCACTCGCAGCCATTACGCTCTAAGAGTACAACCCTACTGATTAAAGTCAAGCATTACCGTTTACAAAGCCGTATTTTGGTCCAATGTTATTAGGCACCTCTAGTACATTGCGTTTAGACGATAAGAAAATTTTGATAACGAAATCAGCTGTGCCAACATACAACAAACAAGATAAATTTAAATATTAATTTGAAGTTGGCAAAGCAAATATATAGCAGCTGTTTACCTTATATTAGATAGGAGCGTGAACGATCAACTGATACATCAGAGGTTAATTTTGCTCTACAATTTAAAAGAAACTCATTCTTATTTCTATCATTTAATTTTCATTACCTACAGTTTAAATACTTCGAAAACAACTCAATAGGTAAATTTTATTTTATTTACTCTCATATAGAAAAAATTGTTTCATGCTTGTTCTTACTACAAATGTTTTTAAATAAAAATTTCGACCTTCATTCGATATGACAAAAGGTTCTTTTATTTAGTATTAGAGACTTAAAGTTGTATTAATGGCTATAAAGGTCTTATTTGTATCATATATAATTTTAAATTCAAGTTTTTTTTTAACAGTTAGGCTACTTAATTACTCGAAGACTCGAATTTAAATTAAAGTAAGAAAGTACTCATATTTTTTAAATAAAAGAATTAACCACCTATTGAGGAATCGCTTTTTAGCGCAAATAAATGGTCAGAAAACATTAATTACAATGTTAAATTGAAACAATATTATAATAGCCTAAAGAGAGCTATATAACATTATTTTTACTTTTGGACTAATTAATAACATTATTAATTAATAACACACTCTTATCTATTTATGATTTTAACATAATACTTACCTTGGAGTTAAAATCAATGGCATTATATCGAAATTTCTTTTGTAAATAATTTAATTGAATAATGTATTTTTATCATATAAGTGATAATATCCAACTAGTTTTGAAATGACCGACCTCAAGTTGTTGGGATTAAGGTGAGGAAGAAGAAGAAAAAGATTGAACTAGTTTTGAAAAGTTTGAATAATGTTATATATATATATATAAGTTCTAGATATTGCTATATCCAACAAAAACAGTAACACATTCCTACTTTTCAGGAAATAAAAAATGAAATATACTGTCTTATTTAGTTCCTTGTGTTTATTAGCTTAGTTCAAAAAATGTTATTCTGATTTGTGTTAAACTTTCCTCATACTTCATGATTTCAAAATCAAATTTCTGAGTTACTGCTTTATTTATTTGTGCATAACAATATAGTTTAATAGATTTAACTATGTCCAATAAGAAAAGTCAATTTTTTTTTTTTTTACTTTAATATTAATATTTATAATATTATATCTTTAATTTCAGATCATGGGTAATATGGACTTTGGCCATTTGAAATCTAATATCAGAGGAGTCATAACAACCAAAATATCACCTTTTGAACAAAAAGCATTTAAAGGGCTACTCAGTCATGGTCTCCCAAATGCCATTAGGAGGACAGCTTCAAATTTGCCCTTTTTAATTCCTCCCACAATCATTGGTTACCTTATATATGACTGGGCTGAGAATACTCATCATCATAGTTTAAGAAAAAACCCTGCTGATTATGAAAATGAAAAATAATTTTGTTATGGCTTACTATAAAAAATATTACCATACAAATGAGCATAGATAATAGTTAACATGTTTGTCAAACTTCATTATTATACATAGTAAATAAAATAATATATAAATGAGTGTTCTCACCAAAAAATTATAAAATAAATCTAATTGTGTACAATCAAAAATCTTATTATTATTNTAAAATAAATCTAATTGTGTACAATCAAAAATCTTATTATTATTTTATACTTAAGTTTTATAAAATATATATTTTGTACATTTCAGATTACCATAAAATATAATACAAAATCTTCATTCCAAGTCTCTTAATAGTCAATTACACAAAACAAAAATATAAATATTTATAACTTGGAACCATTGAATAAGTGATGTAATCACTTACTAATAAAGTAAAATAGTTTCATATGAAACAATACTGAAAATATATTATCTTCAATATTTTAATTTTACAAATAGTTCAAATTTGTATTCAATAAAACCATCATTAATCATTATTGACACAAAAAGGCTTTATAAAAACCAAATAAGTGATGAATTTCTATTTTAAATCTATATTTTTAAACAATTTTAGAAAACAAATAGTTAATCGCATAAGAAAAATTATAAAAACAAATGTTTATTATAAATATACTTTTAATTTTAAAAAGAAAAAGAAAAAATATTAATAAATCATGTTCAAAATTAAAGGCAAATTAATTGTATAATTGGTATTATAAATGGTAAAATAATTGTTAGAAAAATTTTGTAACACCTATATATTTTTTACACATTGTACTCTAGTTTTCTGGCATAATTTAATGTATAACCTATTAAAAAGAAAAAAATGAATGCAATCATCAATAGATACAATCAGTCATACTTAGTATAATAAAATATGTACAATGTCCATTAATTTTAAGCTAAATAACTTATCAGCAATTAATCGAGTTACTTCATAAAATATATTGAAAGAAAAATTGTCAACGAATATTAAAATATCTAGAACAATATAGTTGAATTATAATTTATACCAATTTTTCTGTTTCATAAATTCTTTCTGACATGATATTAAGAACAGTATTAGCTTCCATAATAAACGAAATTTGTAATGACGATTGACCAACTTGAGGAGCAGAATCTAATGCACTTACAGAATCCTATAAGAAAAAAATGAATAAATAATAAAAAAAAGCTTAATATTATAATATTAAAATTTAAATGAAAAATTATGTAACCAGGTATAATGTTTTTGCATCTTCTACACATATTTAAAAGTAAAATTTTCTATGGGTTGTTTTAAATTCAAAACTTTTTTATGCTCCACAACGTCATCAATGATTAAAGAGTTTGTTTGACAGTAAGCCAATGCAACATAACAATTCAAACATATTATTAAAATATTTTTGTTTAGAATGAGATATTTAGTTGTTTACCACATTTAAGCAAAATTTTTCTATTTCCTCTAAAAAAACTTAAAAATCAACTATATTTTTCTATAAAAACAATATTTAAATAGAAATGTTCAAATATCTGTATAAAACAAACACTTGGGGTGTTTTATTCTACTTCTCATAGTAATATAGGACACATTGTAATCATACAACACATAAATATAAAAACATTAAAAAACTTGAAATTTAGGTAAAAATACCTAAATTATCTATTTCCCTAACAATATTTTATCTTAATTTGTATTATACATGTAACATATTTTTAAGATTTGTCTTTAACAGCCAGCATTATATTTGTTGTATCTCGTTGCTATGGGTTAAAAAAACAATGGTATCTATGACCTATGAGTCTACAATAATAAATGTTTTAATTTACGAACTTAAATTATATTTTTTATTATAAGTATTTTCTTTTTACTTTTAAGTATATTGAATTCGTACAGTATCTAGATAGATGGACTACAATAAAGCTCATGAACTATTCAAATATTTGTGCCGTAAAAATAACAATTCTAAGTAAACATTTAAATATTAAAATTTAATTGTAAAAGACACTAAACATAATATTTCATTTTTACAATATTATATTAACTTGTTTTATGGTTAAGTGACACAGTTTGTCAATATCCAATGGAGCTGCCTAGTCAAAACAGTAAAAACTTTACTCGTGCTCCTAAACCACAGAATAAAAAGAAAATAATAAAGCCTTTATCTAATAATAAATTAACAGCTACCAAACGACAACGTATGTTTTAAAAAACATCTTACAATATATAAATATTAATTAAGCCTAATTTATAATGACACTATATTAGCTAACACGAACATATGTCGTAAAACAATATCAAGCAAAAATACAGGCGATCAAACCACTGTATCTCGTTTAAAAAATGTAACGCGTGATAATCTAATAATCAAAATACAACAACTGGAAAATGAAAATGTTGAAATACAAAACAAATATCAAGTAAGAAAATTTAAAAAGCATGACTTAATAAAAATAATGTGTTTAATTTTAGAAATTATTAACTGAAAATCGAATATTAAAAACTATGGAAAAACGTCAAGAAAATGCTTTATTATTTTACGAGGGTACAGAAGCTAAATTACCTCAAGTTATGAAATCATTAAATGATGACATACAAGTATACAAAGGAAGAATAAAGCAAATGCAAAGTACTTATAAGGAATTAGAAAATAGGTACCGTTCACAGAGTACAGAGCTTTCTATGATGACTAAAAAACATAATCATTTGTTAAATTTATCTAAAAATAAAAATCTAAACGAAAGAGAAAAACTACAAGATCAATTGAAAGATGCACAAAATACAATTTCACATCAGGAAAAGAAAATTGAAGTATTTAAAATTTTTTTTGGATTAATAAAATTATAATGTAACTTGAATAAAAATTTTTTTAGAGTTTGATGAAAGATTTAGAACTTCAATGCAAGAGTTATCAACACCATATTATTTTAGAAAAAAATAAAAACAAAGAATTACAAAAAGAATTAATAAAAATGAAAAGTATGAATGATAATATAAATCTGAAAAATAACAATTTTCAAAATAACACAGCTCGACTTTTCTTAAAAAATCAAACAGTTAGACATTCTATCTCTCATTCTCCTTGGTATGTAAAACTAGAATTTTAAGTTACAACACATTTACAAAAAAATTTAAGTTAATTTTTTGATAATAGCGCGGTAAAAACAATGACAAACAATGATCTAACAGATAAAGAAGATAATAAATCATTATATAAAATAAATGCAAAATCATTAAATGAGAATTGTAATGGAAATAATAGAAATCATATGAATGATTCGACTACTCGAACTCAAAATAAGAATCCAATTTTGTTCAATAAAGAAAATATTGAACACTTGCATAATGATATTAAATACAAAACTGAAAGAAATCCGAACCTAAATGTTCAGGAGGTTAACAATAAATTAAAAATCAACAGTGCAAAACAAAGCTTTTCACGGGGAATTAATGAAAATTCTATCACTTTAACGCAACGGTACACATATATTTACACATACATTGACTAAATATTCTTATTTAATATTACGAGTTTTTAAGTTACAGAATAACTAAACCTGAGTCAGCAAATTATCGTTTCAATAATAATAATGAAACTAAAAGCCTAAACAAACAAAATTCTTCAAAATCAGAATTTTCACTAAAATCTTCTGATAGTTCAGATGAATTTTTCATAACAGATAATGATAAAACTTATAATGAAAAAAATATTGATAAACAATATGTTGATAATCCTTTGTCAAAAAATAGAGAATCAAAATCATTTGTCAACCAAAATAATAACACTTTAGTCAAAGTAAGTAAAATCTAAAAATGTGAAAAAGATTATTTCAAGATTACTTGAAAAAATTAATTCTTAACAATAATGTTATTTATAGAATAATGAAAAAAAATTACTCCACATTCAAACTAGTCTAATGAAATCTAACAGTACATCAACATCTAAAGATTTATTGTTACCAAAATTCAATACTTGTGAAGATGAGGAAAATGATATTTATACACCTAAATCAAAAATTATTGTTAATAAGAATTCACAGAATGTAAAGAAATTTAATGATGATGATGATGATGATAATGATTCATCAAGTGTAAGCAGTATATCATCTGTATCAACATCAGATGATTCTAATGAATAGTATATGTAATATAAATTATGAAACTGTTGTTATTTTTAATAAAAAATTATTTTTATACTTGACTAACAATTGTTGTTTTTCATTTGTTTCATAAAAAGTAAACAATTAGATTTATTTACCGAATTTCTCTAAAGTTGTTGTTAGTAGATATGATGATTTATTTTCTATCTTCTTAATGTCTTCTATTGTAGACTGAAATTAAAATTTAAAATAAATTCAATTAACATATAATATAGATATAACAAAAAAATGTATAAATATTTTTTACAATTTGTTGAAATTTAAATCACCTAATATATATTAATAATGTATCCTAATTTTTCATAAAATTATAAATGATTTTTTTATAAAAATGTATAGATTAAAATTTAATTAATTTTTATAAACCATTGTGTATGTAAAGTTTATTGAAAAAAAATTATTACTAAGGGTAGATTTCAGGTGTAAATTTCAAAAGTTTAATGAGAACTTATTATTTTTTTTAATATTAGGTAGAAAATAACATAAGTAAAATTTTGACTGCCAGATAACCAGTTTTGTATTATTACTTTTTGAGATATTAGCATTTAAAGATTTAAAAAGGTGAGGGTAAGTTAGTGTTTAGTAACACTATTTTTATCATAATGAACTGATAATAATTATTCTATGTTATGCACTTCGCTCGCCTATATCTATCAATTATAACTCGTAAAGCAATTATCAATTTTATATTAGACAATTCTCCATTTAATACTAGATAAAAAAATAATGGGTTTTCATTTAACTTTCTAAATTTATCTCAAAACCAACTCTTAGAAATAATTTTTTTTTTTAATAAACTTTATATTTACAATAGTTTATAAAAATTAATTAAATTTTTATGAAAAAATCATTATTTAACAAAAACATAGAGGGTAATATACTTGATAAATTAAACAAACACACACATTTATAGAGAGAAATTCATTAAGAATGAGACACTCATTTTCACTGAAACTATTTCAAATTTTTAATTTTTGTAAAAAAAAATATTGTGTTTCAAAAAACTATAATACGTAGTTAAATAATCTTTTTTTGTTATCCTTTCAGGGTTAAAAACCCTTAAAATTAATTTTCTTACATGAGAACCCCTATTTTTAACTTGATAATATGATAAAATAAAAAAACACGAATTACTAATATTAAAATTATAAAAATTAAAAGTATAATTACAAACAATTATGTTCTTATAATTTTTTTATGTGATCAACCAATTGCTTCTTTCACCATGTTAAAGTTTAGTGTTTTTGAACCGAATTTCTATTGTTTTTCTACTGTTGTACACAGAAATTATTGATGACTATTAATAGGTACTTACTATTATATTCTACACAAATTTACTATCATATATTGTTAAATAACCAGTGTGGAAAACATTAATTATTTTTGCCTTCGGTATTATAAAAACCAAATAAGTGATGAATTTCTATTTTAAATCTATATTTTTAAACAATTTTAGAAAACAAATAGTTAATCGCATAAGAAAAATTATAAAAACAAATGTTTATTATAAATATACTTTTAATTTTAAAAAGAAAAAGAAAAAATATTAATAAATCATGTTCAAAATTAAAGGCAAATTAATTGTATAATTGGTATTATAAATGGTAAAATAATTGTTAGAAAAATTTTGTAACACCTATATATTTTTTACACATTGTACTCTAGTTTTCTGGCATAATTTAATGTATAACCTATTAAAAAGAAAAAAATGAATGCAATCATCAATAGATACAATCAGTCATACTTAGTATAATAAAATATGTACAATGTCCATTAATTTTAAGCTAAATAACTTATCAGCAATTAATCGAGTTACTTCATAAAATATATTGAAAGAAAAATTGTCAACGAATATTAAAATATCTAGAACAATATAGTTGAATTATAATTTATACCAATTTTTCTGTTTCATAAACTCTTTCTGACATGATATGAAGAACAGTATTAGCTTCCATAATAAATGAAATTTGTAATGACGATTGACCAAATTGAAGAACAGAATCTAATGCACTTACAGAATCCTATAAGAAAAAAAATGAATAAATACTATAAAAAAAGCTTAATATTATAATATTAAAATTTAAATAAAAAATTATGTAACCAGGTATAATGTTTTTGCTTCTTCTACACTAAAACGACATTCTAACAATACTTTTTCTAATTCTTCACTAGACCAGACATTATTTTCTAATGTATCAATAAATTAATACAGTTCATCTCTAAAACACAAGAGTACCATAATGAAACATTANGTATACAGTTCATATCTGATTAATTCACGTAGAATTAATGAAAATTTTATAACTTTAACGCAACAGTACATTGAATATATGTTGATTAAAAATTTTGTTTGGGTACTATGGTTGAATTATGAACTTTTGTTCGCGCCAAGCGCGTTGTGATTGTGCATCATCAGCTGTTAGGACGCCTTATCAGCGGCCTGTGTTGTTCGATCGTTTTTTATTCAAAAAATTAAGTATGTACCAGTTGTAAAATTATATAGTTTAAGTGAACTGTTGTTTTTGTATGAATTAGTAAAACATCGTTCAAGTTTCGTTTTAAAATACATTATTTTAAAGACATATAGTTGTTTTCTTTTTTCTTACATTGGTTAGAACATTACTACAATAAAACTGAAGGTAGTATATCACTGTTGTTAATTATAATTCTTTTTTTACATGGATGACTTTTCAGGCGTCAGTGATACTATTCAAGAAACATTGCGGTTACGTAGTACGTTAACTGCAATTTTGGCCAAATATGGATATGAGCTACGTCAATGGTCAAGCAATAACGTAAGTCTAATAGCAGGTGATAAGAGGCCTGATTGTCACTGAGAAGACATCCTGAAGAATTTGTCAGAAGTTTAAAAAATATTAGGCATGTATTGGGATCGAAA